CCAAAATAAAACACAGGAAACATTAAGGTCAACTAAATTCTGGTGGCGAGAGCTAAAGGACCCCAGAAAGCTACGGACCGACACTGTTGTCACGGTTGCCTAGAAACGGACACTACGCAGCCGCGGTAAGGTGCTATCAACCCGGGTCTTTTTAAAACGTCCTTGACCCGATAATCCACCGTCCTTAGAAGCAAAACTTCTCGTAAAGATACAGACGTGAGTGGGAATAACGTTTGTGAGGACGAATGAGACAATTTTAAAACATGTGTCCATCGTGGCGCAGACAGAATAGATCAGGAGAGGACCTGCAGACCCGGTTTGAGCCTAAAGAACCAGAAATCAGCATCTCTTCATCCCTCAATCATCTCCTGAGGCTGATATGGTAGAACATTTTATTATTGATTAAGTTTTTTATTGTGCTTTTAGTCGGCTATATTAGTTTGATTATTTGCTTATTTAATGTATTAGCCAAAAAAATAATACTAATGGTCATTTAAGGAACAAATCATTCAAATAGATTAACGGTAAACACATCGATATTTCCTACTGTTGAGGAAAATAAATATTCATAGTGTTTAATACAGTTAAATCTTACGACATGTGAAAATAGTGGATTAAGAGTTTAATGCTTACAAATTCTTAGGCGGGGACTCTGCTGATGTCTGCTTTGTCTCTGTTTTACTGAGATGTGCTTTTTCTAAATGTATTTTTAGTCAGACCTGTCTCATTTCTGTCTCCAAACGCATTAAGAAAATCAGTCTGTGTTTTCATTCTAAGAAAACAATTAATTTTTTTTTTTTTTTTTTTGTAAAACCTGGACGGGTCGCTGTGGCGCTTTGGTTAATCTTTAGCAGATTTACCCTCGCTAACTGATCACCTCAGTCTGTAGTTGCATTACAAACAACACGCTGCTGTGAAGCTGGTGACCGTCGGGCCTGTTTTGGTTTCTGAACTTGGCCCGGGGAGTTCCTGCTGCTCCCCTCCCAGCAGCAGGAGTCACAGGCCAGCATGGAGCTCCCACACCCACACCGGACCACGTCTCTGAGCGCAGCCGCTTTCTGCGTGACGGCCGACAGCCTCAAGAGCGTTAAGGTGCGATGTTGTGTAACATGCCGTGCGCATGTCTGCCAACAAGGTGAAAAAGAGCGAGAGAGAGAGAAAAAAAAAAGCTGGGAGCGGGATGGAGGAGTGAGTAGGTGGGAGAGCGGCTGGGAGTTCAATGAGGAATTTGACCAGACAAAATCAAAGACAGGCAAGAAGGACAAACTGGCCACACATTTTGAATGCTCTTTCCTGGCTGTACATGTAATGATGGTAATAATAATAACAATAACGATAATAAAAGAAAATTACAGTCATACAAAATAGAATTACTGTCAACCTCAGTCTGTAAGCCTTGTTTAGTCTCAGGATGTTCTGCTGTTAACAGCAGAAGCACAAACTTGAGCAGCCATGTCTGAGCAAAGGTCAGGGGTCGTGGCCTTTCTTTGGAAAGGTGAGCACTGCAATCTCTTTCCCGGTCAGAGCTGATGCCTCCACCGTTACTGCAGACGATGTGAGTTTCACTGACAATCTGACTGCTAAAAAAGAAAAAGGCTTTCAGAAAAATAACTAAGTGAACAAAAGCTATGAACCCTAACAGGTTTCCTGTTTTTTTGTTGTTTTTTCCATTTAAACATTTCAGATCAGCGACTCTTTCATAAAGATTAGATCTGCAGTTGGTACAAGAGGTTCTACCAGCGGAGCCGTGGGTCTCTGCAGCTGCTGCGGTACCGCGGGTCTCCCTCTTTTCAATGTGCTCCTGACATTATGCAAATACTGTTAATGCACCTGGTGTGTTTTAGTCTGATTATATGTTTCCCAGCCACATAATCATAGCACTGTCAAGTTATTTAAGAAACTCCTGCTTTTTCTGGCACTCTTCAGGAACTCATCACAACATTGCTCTTTTATTGGCTCTTAAGCAACGATTTAACAGCGTTTCACTGAGAAATAGCTTGCATAACACGCTCAGCAGATGCGTAGTTCCACCAGGTGTTTGCTAATTGCTGCTGGCTAGTCTGAAGGAGCGGAGTGGGGGAGTCAAAAGGAAGGGTTGCTCTGAGAGTTGGAAGGTTGATAGCTTGGAAAATGCAGCTCTGAGGAGGAGATTTGTTGATGAGGGAATAACATTACAATGCATAGCTCAAAAAAGTTGAGTTTACATAAAACTGCCTCTTGAAGCAATAGCGACAAAATAGGAGAAAAAGCAGAGAACCCTTCTAAAATCTGGGTCATTACCTCCTTATCTGATTTCTTCTGTTTGCAGCGGAGCAGAGGCAGGTTTTGGCTGCTGACGAGCGAAAGAGGGAGTTTCACGAGGAGAAGAGGAATGAGTTTGAGAGCTATGCCGAGGAGGACAATGACGGTACGTGTCACACGTAGTACAGATGCAGCGGAGGCGGGGAGGAAGAGGAGTTTAGACAACTATAGACACATTTTTGCAGCATGGCGTTTTAGGTAAACTTATTTAAAATCTTTCATTGCTTCATGTTTTCTTTAGGGTTGCACCGATTGCAGATTTCTGGCCGATTACCGATCTTTTAAAAAGCCTGACCTGCTTTCCGATTCCGATTTTGGCCCATACCACTTTGTTTTGTCTGAAACATCTACCTTTGCCGAGGTAGATGAGATCGCTGGATAAGATCAGCCGATCACCCAAAATTACAGATATCGGCACAGATGCACCTCTACTTTTCTTCTAATCACATAAAATAAAACACGCAAGACTGGTGAATGTTGTAGAGTTCTTGTATTTACAGCAAGTATACTTCCAAAATCTTTGATACTCACCACATCTTTTGTTATTAAAAGTTGGCAAAACCTTATACACTGGCCATGCACTTGTTACATTTCTGGACTGCTTTTTTTTTCTTTTTTCTTTTTAATTCCACATTCATGTTGAGTGATTAAAGTTAAGTAGAGAAAGCACAAAGAAAATACAAAGACGGACCCCTTTCTCTTCTTTGTCAGAGGCAGTTTTTACAGAGCGACAGAGCAGGAGGGGATGAGGACGGAGTCTTTCAGCTAAATTCAACAGGCTGGTATGAAAAGCACAGTGATTAAACACAGAGTGGAGCTGTTTCTCAGAGCAGCCACTTCAGGAGCGGAAGCAGAGCACGGGGGAACAAAATGAAGCAGAAACACCGTCACATCACTGGTCGTTCTCCACATCCCGTCATGTTCCAGGTTTACCGAGAAGAAACATAGTGTCAGGAAGTAAACGTCTATCCCTGTGGCACATGGGGATAAAAAAACAACCTGTTTTTAGGTGTTTTTCTTTCTTTTAAAAAAAAAATGTCTTTCAGTAAGTCGGATGAGTCAGTTGTGATTGATCACACAGAGGCGTTTGGTTAGATTCAAGCACACATCCCTGTAGATCCCTGAGAACTCATAGAACGCCCTCCTGTGGATGAAGGAGGACATTACAGTCACATCGAAACTCGTTAAATAAAACAGCAATTACAAAGTCACATCTAGTAGATATTGTATTTATGTGGCAATAACTGCAAGTCCAGTTTTAATAAACATTTACACGTCTCAGCAAATTATATTCTTACAAAAAGTCATTATATGTAATATAGGAAAATAAATATTCCCAATAGATAATCAATCGTTTGCACTCTCTCTCTGGAATCACAGCCATGACCGATGCAGATTGTCCTGCTTTGTTTGTTAACTTAAAAAAATAAAATAAAGCAAAGACACAACACTGACAGCCATGCTGTTGGAAGTCATGACGCCGTGAGCCGTCACTGCAAAAACACCACAGCGGATTGGACGGGAGCCGCCTGAACAACAGCAGGTTCAGAGTGCAGATGATGGCACAAGTATTAACCACAGTTTGAAGCTTTATACGTTTCACCTGCATGACATGACTCTACAGAACGGTTCCAGGCAGGATATTTAAACAAGGCATACAGCGGAACGACTTTTCACAGTCAAGCTCCAGCAGAGAGTTCCCTTTAGTCCCGTTGCTCCGTCAGCAGTCGCTTGTTTGTTCGCCTGCCAGACAAGCCGTCGTCTCCACAGCAGCAGCAGCTTTCAGGTGAGTCTTCCCTTTCTCCCCTCCTTCATCTGAACTTCCATGTCTGTGTGAAGACGTAAAGGGGAAGCAGCGCCGTGCGAAACGAGGCCGAGTCAGGGCTCTTCAAATTTCCTCCCTCGGGGTTTGGCGTTAGCAGACGGGAGGCGGCGGGATGGAAAAACTGGGCAACCGTGTCGCATCGTGAGACCCCCTCAACCGGGGTCTCAAAGCTCGGTGGTCTCCCAGCTCACCTCCCGCGGAACCTGGCGTCATTTAGTCCCAGTGTGGATGACCGTGACGGTGGAGGGGCGCGGCCGGGTGGGTTCGGCCACCACCTGGGGCTCCTCCAGTGACACGGGAAGGTCAGAGTCCTGGCTGTGCACTTTGACGACGGATGGAAGAGGAGCGATAGGAGGACCTGCAGGAGACATGGCACGGATTAGAAACAGAAATGTGCTGCATTTTATTTTATGTAATAATGAGTTGCTGGTTAGTTTAGTTCCATGATGTATTTCAAACTTTTCAGCAAGATATTGGAGCTTGCATCAAGTCAATAATTCCTTAATATTGACGAATGGAACCAGAACATTTTCATCAATATTAAAAGAATTATTGACTTACAACAAGCTCGGATTTCTTGCCAAAAAGTTACTTGTAAGTTAGTTTTCTTATTCCAAGCATACTAAGACGTTTGCACTAGAAACTACATCAAAAACACTTGATAAAATTTTGTCTTCTTGCAAAGCAATCCTGTTTCTCACTTGAACAAACCTTGTGTAAACAGCTTTACTCACACTGACATTAAATCAGAGGCAGTGAGGTGATACTTTCCTTTGGTCATACTGGATCTAATTCAGCTGCACCATGCTTTTCCAATTTCTTATTGCTAAGATTTTGCGGAGTGGAAACCCAACTTCACAATGTACGTGCCACTTTGTGGTCCTCTAGCCCACAAAATCCTATCAAAATACATTTAGGTTTGTTTGTTGCAATGTGTAAAACATTTATGGGTTGTAAATACTTTTGGAAGATATTGTATGTCTCATATCAGCAGCGCTGCAAAAAGGCTTCTTTTTTTTCTTTTTTCTTTTTTTTTAAAGAGATGATGTATTAAACCCAAAGGCAGCAGAAGCATTGATCGTCTTAACGGAGCGGGCAGCAGGATGAAAGCTTGGCTAAACTCCAAGCTGGAAGTTAAACGCGTCTGTTTTGATCACAGCTGGCGTCCGCAGAGTCACTCACAGTCCTTCAGGGAGAGCGGGGCGCAGTCCACAGACTGGCTCTTGGCCGGCGCTCGGCTCTGAGGACCCGGCGCAGGCTTGGCACTTTGGATGCTGCTTCCGAAGCTGGTGCCGAGCTGCAGACGCCTCATGTGGCGGATCACAGCTGTCGCATTGAACGCTTGCTAAACGGAGAAGGTGCAAAACAGAAATTACTCTGCTTTTTTTTTTTTTCCCCCAGCAAGAAGAAACAAAAACATTGCTTTATTTGCTCTTTTTGGTAAATAAGATTTAAAGTTTCACATACCCTCCATTTGCTTTTGGCAAAGTTTTTGCGCATTTGTCGACTGACAGATTCATGTATGTTCTTGCACAGAGCAGTGTCTCCAGCAATCCTGTAGAGAAAGAAAAGAAAATACACACACACACAATCAGTGGAAGCGTTCACACGCACACACGCACACACACCGTCCTGCCAGCAGAATGATCCCCGTGCTGTTTTCATATTCAATCCCTGCATTTCTTTCCATTGGGCTGCAGCACTTTTTGAGTGATGGGCTGCTGTTTCTGCAGGATTCCCTCTCACATTCATCATCATCGCATCTCTTTACAAAACCCTGTCAAACGAAAGCCGTTTCTCTCCATTACGGCATCTGTTCCCGCCGGTCGCATCAGAACGACCACCTGCCCACGACCCACAAAAATGCCCATTTACTCCCCAACAGATTTGCTGGCCCCCTCGGCGGGATGCGTCAGCCCACACCGTCTCGGCCTCGTTAGGCCTGACTCAGACCTGGGAATACATCCCAGTTGTTCATTAAGACTTCAAGGATCCTTGAGGATACAAGCCACTAATTGGCGGGGATTTATTCAGAAGATTTCTTCCCCGAGACGCTGGCGCTGCCCGGCAGAGGTGGGCCCGCCGCTCGGAGCCGTGCTGACAGATGACTGTGGGAGGACAAGCTCTCCATGACACATGCGTAAGCCTGGCAATCTGCGTCACACCGCTATGAAACGAGGTGTGTGTGTGTGTGTGTGGGTGTGGGTGTGTGCGTGTGTGGTTCCTCACCAGGGGTGCTCAAGAGCCTGGTCACATGTGAATCTCTTCTCGGGGTCCTTCTCCATTAAGCAGCTGATGAAGTCTTTGGCTGTGAAGAGGACAAGAAGAAAAGTCAAGTGCGCATCCAGCTGAGGACGAGTTCTTCACTTTCCGGCACTCAAGGTTTTTATGTTTTCATCTGATGTCTCACATTTAAGCATCACAATTCACAGTTACTGACAAGAACAAAGCAGATTGGTAGAAAAAACTAGAAGGGTTTTATGATGAATGAAACAAGCAAGTTTCTCTTGATTGGTTTTAACTGAGCAAATATTTTTTTTCCTTCTGTTAATTAAATGCCTTGAAACTTTAACCTCCCCCTTTTTTTTTTTTTTTTAACACGCCTTGATCTGACTTTAGTTAAAAGTTAGGACAAAATAAGGAACTGTGCATTAACACATCATCATCTGAAATTGACAACCTCTATTAAGGAACCTGCAACGCAATTTCCTATAGTTACACTTTACACTCGTGATTTGAATGTGCTCTAATCTTTTTTTTTTTACATTATATATTGGCACAACATAAAACAGGTCTTACAAATAAACAAATGAGAACTAAAAATATGCATTTGCTTGTAAAAGCCTTACTGATGCATCTCCATTTTTCTTTTTTAATAAAGTTGCTAAACATGCTATCTGTTGAGTGTGTTGGTAAGGTTTATGTGTATGTTTTTGTAAACTGATAATTGACTGAAAACACTCAAAGTAGCCAGAGCTTTAGACATTAATGTCTGCAAATGACGTCTAAAATGAACAAAGGATGTATCACAAGACGGTTTTAAGGTCAGACGTGAACATGTTGCAGAGTTTGTTTCCTCGAACGTTTAATCTCAATCCATTTAGCCGATTCCAGCCGGAGAACGGCTCCAGCTATGAGTCACTACAGGAAATAGTCAATATGACTCCTTCACTCCCAGGATCAGATGAATCTGCAGAGGACGCAGGAAGTGCCGCACGGATAAAATTTGCATCACATAAATGATTTCAGTGTGTGACAAAAGCCCAATTCATAAAATGCTGACGTTTAAAGCGAGTCTGTGGTTAAGCTAAAGTTAGCAGGAAACTACAGTTGTTTGTTTTTTTTTTCTTCCCACTCTTAATGAATGCTGGTGATTGGTGATTTCCTGAATGTTTTGAATAAAGTTCATGTGTGTGTGCCCATCGGAGCATTAGACATTTATGCTTCGTCTGAATCACCAGCCACATTTTCACAATTTATGTAATTTCAGGATTTGGTGACTAAATATGATGACTAAAGTCTCCAGACTGTTTTTTTTTTCATCTTCTGGAGTCTGCGAATATATTTGGACAAGAATTTGAAATTAAAGTTTAAAGAAAAAACCACAAGGTTATGAAATAGGAAGCATTTAAAATGTTTCTAACACGTGTAGTTCTAATCCTGGCCAATTTGGCATGTAATAAAAATGTAAATGAAATAAAAATAACACTGTAATGACATCTCAATTCCAATTTTAGCTGGTGCTAGCAAGCAATAACATGCAGTCTTGGCAGTGTGCTCCATTACACAGCTAAAAGATAAAAGGCCTGTGCAAAGAAGTTATTTCTCTTTGACACACGGCTGTGAAAGTCAACGATTTACACTTTGTCTATGAAATTTCTGACTCCACTCAGAGGATCTGCTGTCACTTTTCTGGCTGTGGTTCTTTGTTTTCCACTGAGCCAGAAGAAGATTTAAATATGACGCTATTTTAGGTAAAACAGGAGTCCCACGTTTGTTGTCGTGGGATACTGACGGGTGCTTTTCAGACGCAGGTGGCATATACGTCTAAAAACGCTGAAAGTTGACAAACTGTCAGGCCGGCGCCCCCTAAGCTAAGCCAAATGCAGCTACTGATTCATGTCCACTTGAAAATAGCTTGCTTGTTATGTTTTGACACCAAACGTGGGATATAAAGACATTGCAGGATTAAGTTGCCATGGCAGCTGCTGAACTGTGTCCCCTCATTACTTTACTTTTTGCCTTGTTATGCGGCTTTAAACACAAGGTTGTTAGCTCTGGCAGAGTTATGTAACGGAAGAATCTCTGGGGGCCTTGATTTACCCTTTATTTCAAACGCAGCGCGAGAACACACACACACACACACACACACACACACACACACACACACACAAACTTCAGCTTACCAGAGTCTGAGATGTCGTCCCAATACGGTGCGTCAAACTCATAATCTGCCTTCAAAATCTGCTCGAAAAGCTTTGAGTCGTTCTCGTCGTAGAACGGAGGGTAGCCGCAAAGCCTGGGAGGAAGATCAAGTTCGAAAGATTACACAACGGTGGGTGCGAAGGTTGTTATGCTGCTGATGTTAGAGTCTTCAACCCGAATCTTAGAGGATTTACAGTGGCCTAATCCCATTTACTGGCAGTTGGATTCTCTATATAATGCAACAGAAGAAGACGGCACAGAGGGATTTTCAAGAACATTAAAAAAAAACGGGACAATAGGAATCCAGTGTTAATATATAGAGGAAAAAAAGGCATTTAGGTTTGTCGTCTGAAAATAAAACTGTGTATTTTCTACAAACAGATGTGAAAAACATAAAAACTTCAAACTCTTATCATTTAATCAATAGATTACAGCATCAGGGATTTTTTTTTGCTTGCTAATAAGTGAAACTCTTTCGCTTAATAAGACTGTGTGCAACACTTCCTACTGAAAACTTCCGTGTTAATGGAGCTGTAGGGATCCCTCTGGCTGCCCACCGCGTAGGTAGGTTACTAATGAATGAGCTTCAACCTGGAATCTGGATGCATTTCAATAGTTAACTAACAATCTCTAATAGTTAAGCAACAATCTCTGTCAGTGACAATCCTGGCTGAATGTTTGTGATCTTGAAGACGTCGCAAAGCTGTGATCAAGATTAGGACGTTTTCTGATTCTTGAATTGTCATCTTTATTTTACATAATTTTCATGCGGAGTTAAATGATGTTTAAGCTCCCTGCTGGTTTCTGTTCTGAGCAAATGTTCATTCATAAAGCGAACTAAAAAAAAAAAAGTTAAATGTTAGATAATGTCAAGTACTCACAGAATATAAGCGATGACCCCGATGGACCAGCAGTCCACCGCTTTACTGTACGGCTTCTGCGCCAGAACCTCGGGAGCTGAAACAATGAAATGTTTTATTGGTCAGAAATACTTTCTTCTGTGCAGAGGAACCTAGCAGCTGGAGAAAAATGTTTGGGTTTCTTTATGGATCTGGTTAATCTGGATTTTATTTAAGAATGTTTAAGGGAAATGGGGGCCAACTACATCTGCATACTAAACTTTTCACTTTCCTTGTTTGGAAATAAATTTGGTCTATCACAAAAACTCCAAATGAAATAAACTGAGGTTTACAGCTGCAGTATAAAAAACATAAAGCGAGATATGAATATTTACAAAGAACAGCTTGCACTTTCTCCTAAAGCCACAGCTGGGAGGGCAACCTTACCGACATATCCAGGCGTCCCGCAGGCCGTGGCCATGACGCCACCTGTGCCCTCCATCTTGGACAGGCCGAAGTCACTGATCATGATCTTTGAATCGTCGTGAGGACTAAAGTAGAGCAGGTTCTCGGGCTGCAAACACAAACAGGAAGCAGCCAGTAGCTCAGCCTGTTGCTTTCCCTCGTCTCAAACCATCCAGGCTAAAGAAGTCGGATGGATTTGTCGTTTAAAGAGCTTTCACGGCTCAGTCAAGACCCTTCCTACAGTTTACCGAGAAGGAAAATCCCCTGACATTTAACCCCAACGGGTGATCACCGCAACGTGTGACAGAAACCCACGCAGGTTTCAATGCCAGGGACTCCCCCTCGCAGGCAGAAAAAAAACAAAACGCCTACACGACAAATGTGAAATACTGCCGTACCTTCAGGTCCCTGTGCACTATGCCCATGGAGTGGAGATAGTTGACGGCATCCAGAACTTGACGAATTAGCCGACTGGCGTCCATCTCTGTGTAGAAGCCCTTTTCTACGATCCGGTCGAACAGCTCGCCACCAGAAACCCTGTTGGTGCAAAAAGCAGCACAAGAAATGACACAGAAACAAAAAGAACAAATAGCATTAAAAAGATCTAGTGGGCTTTAAATGATTAGTTAATTCATGTTGGTATATCACATTAAGCTTGTAAACCAGAATACTAATTTTGTTAAATATTTTACATCCCTTGCTTGCTAGTTAAACCCGATTTTCCTTTGTTTCCATACAAAAGTTGTGCTCACTGTTGCTTTCCACGTATTTAAAAGAAAGAGCAAAGAGTGAGAGAGGAGACATCAGGCCAGAGGCCAGCAGAGGTCAGGTAAGGAGTGATTACAGCTTGATGAGAAAAGGGAAAAGGTGCAGCAATTTCAACTTTTTATGAAACAATCTTATGGCAAAAATAAATCTTAACTTCTTTTCGGAAAAGCTGCAGCGAAATCAGTAATTTTAGGCCACAACAATCACAAAAAAACAAAAGAGAAAGAAACCATTGCAACATCCTGCAGGGACTGATAATAAGCATCAGTGTTTCCAAGTTATTGCTAAACATTGTGACCGATGTTCTTTCACCTGAGCTAACCGGACCTCTAAAACAGGTCCAATATGACAATAGAAACAACAAAGCTGGTTTTGTGATAGATAAAGAAAGCTGGCATTTCGCTTGTTGATTATTTCTGGCTTCTCCATAATTAATAAAAGCTGAATATGTCTCAGGAAACCTGCTGGTTTTAATCAACTGCACCATTTCTGCAATGAAAAGTGGTCAGATATCCCAGCAGGATAAACCTTGTTGATGGCAACACTACCTGCTAAAATACATGTGGTGGTGTATTTATATGTTTTGAGAAAATCTACAGTTAATTCAAACTGGTGGATCAATTTCTTGCTTTTAAAATGTATTCAAATCGGACATTTGTACCATCGATCCACCTAATTGAAAAATCAACGTATTCATATAAATGACATGATATACATGTACAAAATCCCTCCATATATTTGTACAAACAGAGACCACCACTCACTGCAGGTTCTCTTATTTTCATAGCGATTATTAGAGTCGTCGAACAACGTTCAGGTAAAATCATAGCAGAAATGTTTTGCATGATGTTTGTTTTTTTTCTTCTCTCATTTCCATGAAGAATTATGGACGTCATAAGCTTGTTGGACACCTGTCCCATTAATATCCTTTGGGGTTTATAACTCGCGTTATCTGGCCAGCCAGACGCAGGAAATGACAATCAGATCTTTTGTTGTCGTTAATACTAAAATACTGTAGCTCTGTGTTTTGCTAAGTTCTGCTCCTTTCTGCTATCTAGAGTGAAAATTTTACTCAAATTATTTTTTTAGACAGTTTTCTTGGTATGCACAGACAGATTGAGAAACTTAGACCAGGTTGTCTTTTTACTCGTTATAATTACTTTTATTGGTCATGGATGAGCTGAGGTTTGTTTTTGATGCTGCCTCATGTGACAACAGCACCAGGGAAGAAAAATGTTTGCATTAATGTGCCATTTAAAATTCCCTTATGACTGTGAACACACAGAGGCAGCGAAAGCTTCTAAAAATATCCCAGACTGCATTGTGATTTGTCTAAAGTTACATCTCAAGTTTTTGTGTTTCAATGCAGGATTATTAATTAACCTATACTATTATAATTTTTGTTATGAATTTTCTAGAAATCACCACTACAGGAAAGTCCACAGTAGCATCCTGAAAATATTTATGCAAAAACCACCTTAATAAAGAAACAGAAAATTAGATCGATACATCAGATGGATGTCCGGGACGTAACCCACCTGCAGACCGTTTTCCCCGTCACTGTGTGACATTAAATCAAACCTTTCATGTTTAGGTCAGTTAGGATTACCAAAATTATTTCTATTAGCTAAATATCAGATTACGGATTTTTTATTATTATTACTTACTTCCAAGAATTTGGGAAAGCCAAGACGATGACGCCAAGCTTTGTAAAGCCTTTGAGTAACTCACAAAAGTCGAGACGATTAGATGCACATCTGTGAATATATTTTAAGGCGACGACTCAAAAGTACTTCCGGAAGGAGAAGGCCTTGTAAAGACGCTGACAGAAACGGGCGAAATAATCATTAAGTGATCCGAGTAGCAACATGAACTGAAAGAGAGGATGAAGCTGAGCTCCAAATGCAACTTAGAAAGTCAGCTTGTAGCTTTCAAACGCACTCAGGAAGATAGACCTTAATTGTTGGGGATTAGTCTTGTGGTCTGGTGAAGCTAAAACTAAAGTGTTTGACCATCATTACATTTGGAGGAAACGGGGGGGAACAGCATCCCGAATGTGAAGTACGGTGGCGGTCGCATCATGTGTGAGTAGCGTGGTGCAGGAGAGACAGCTGGAGTTCACAAAACGGACAAAACCGTGAAGAAATAACTTCATGTGGAAACATTGAAGCGACGTCTCAAGATATCAAACTGAAAATGAAAGTCTGGGTACAAATTTGTTCAATAAAGGAACAATGACTCCAATCATGCTGCTAAATTAGTTACCAAAGGAAATCAAACTCAACATTTTATAGAAGCCAACACAGAGTTACGTTAGACCTGACAGGAGGAATGGGCCAAAATTCAAGCCAGATATCGGGGTGGATGACGTAACGTCAGAGAGAGAGAAAAAAACCGACTGCAAACTATTTTAAGTGTTTTTTTTTTTTTTGGAAAGGACAAAAATGATTACCCAATTATATTATTCATATAAACGTTCCCAATAGTATCGACACACCAACATTATAATACACAATAACAGTATGCGTCTCTGCAGCGTTCGGGCTTGATGAGGCAGCCATCCTGAACTCCTTCAATCTGCAATTAGACGAGGCAAAGGCATAACAAGTGACTCATTAAGTTTAGCACCAAGCGTGAGTACGTCTCCGCTTTCACAGATGACTGGCAATCAGTGTTTAGTTAAGAATGAGGGAAAGGCAACATCGAGCAGCTTTCAGAGACAAAGGGAGGGCAGCGAGCCATGGGTTAAACTAAAGATGGTTTAGTCACAAACGCTGTAAAAAAAATTAAAAAAGAAATGTGCGAGGAGGGTTTTTAAAATCGTGAAGATGTGCATTTTACACAGTAAAAGAAACTAATGGTGAGAGTTTCACTCACCTCTGGGAGATGAGTTACAGTTTACAACATAATTGGTAAAATCTGTGCTGTAAAAGAGACTAATAATGTAATATTACTGTAAATCATCTGTGGTTTAAAATTCAACACTAAAATGAAACCTGGTTGGTGACCATTTTGTAAAGAAATAAAAACATGAATATAACTTTCAGATCCTTATTGGGCTGCACAGTTTCAGGACAAAATTTAATTGCAATAACAATATCGATCTTTCTTTATCATAACACAATGTCTCTACTACTCTTTTCTGAGCCCTAACAAAATTAGAGAAAACCCAAAGTTGTGTTAATAAAACCTGAGTTAAGTTTGCACTTTCAAGCTAAAAGTTGCAGGTCGATCATAATTTAATAATATTTAAGACCTTTGCCAAATTTCCTAAGAGTTCCCACCAGATCAGGTCATGCAAAGCTTAGAGAAATTTCAAAATAACCTAAAGGTTCATCTCAGGTCTCAGTTAGCATGTTAAATGTCAAAGGTCAAGCCATAACTAACAGTTTAACAGGTACGGTTTATTTGGAAGAGTCGCCAGAAAAAAGGCAAACGGCAGCACAACTTGCTAACTAAGTGTGAGCTTTCTGAAGTCAGAGCTGAATCTACCCGGATGAACCGAGTCTGTCGGCTGGATCAGACCAAACTGGAAATATTTCAAACTCAAACTCAGGCCATTTGCACAAACACCTCACGGCAGCTGTCCACCACGGCGGTGGAGGAGGTGGAGGGGATGATTTGGGCTTATTTTTCAGACTCAGGTTGTGAGTAATTTCCTGTCATTAAGTCGCCATCTGTATGTGAAAATGTTCTAGAATAAAATATCAGGCTATCTATCAGACAGCTGAGGCTTTGCCAAAGCCGTGTCTTCAACAGGACATTGATGTCGACACCAGCAGCGCATCGACAACAGAACGACTGGGGGGGAACAAAACGAGAACTATGGTGATGTAATGGCCCAGTCAACGTTCAGACCTCGACCTCAAGGGCGTGATGGGAACGTAAATGAACTAACCTCAAGGAGCTGAAGCAATGTTTTAAAGAAGTTAAGAGAATTGCTTCACATCTATGTGAGAGACCAACTGAATTAACGATTCTTGAAGCTTAAACTTGCACCAGCTATAATATCTTACGTGTGTAAATCTAAAAGAGATGAAAAGGGAAGATGAGTTTTGGTTTTATGGAGATTTTCTTGAACTGAGCATCTCCAAGTCTCTGTTAATGCCAGTAAAGGTGGAATCATGAAAACGACATTAAGTTTTCCATCAATATTTGTTGCCTTAGCTGTAAAATAACTGCAGTTTGTTCAGATATGAAGACAGAATGACTCCTGATTCAGTTTCACATTTACTCAGAAAAAAACAGTAGCATCAATATTGTCACCTGAATCCAACCAAAAGAACCTACTTCTTTATCAAGAAGCATAGCTGAAGTAAGAACTTGCACTTTTTTTTTTTTTTACACGTTGCTGCATTCACTTAAGCAAAGATGCCTCAAGGGCACTGCAGACGCTCACTCAGGCTCAGCATGCAGCACATTATCGAAATGACGGGCCAAATGGGAGGCCGAGAGCTGACCTAAACTAACAGCATGGTGGGCTGTTGTACTTACAGCTGCATTATGAGGTACAGGTGATTGGAGCTTTCGTAGATGTCCTCCAGAGCCACAATATTCTCATGTTTTATCCTGGAGGGGGGGAGAGAAGAGAAAATTCGCTTAGCAACAGCTGAAACCTCCTTCAGCCTTCTCTTAAAATGACACCCGGCTGACAGAGAGCAGATCTGTCTTTTGTTTCTGTTACGCTTCTTTGTGAGAATAAATGTGCGCTTGTCAAATATGGAGCGCCGCAAAAAGGGTTGAACTTATCAGCATTTTGTCACACCGCGAGTTTTGCTACGCGTTTTGTTGGGATCTTATGTGAAATGCCAACATGTAGTCGTGCGTAACGTGAAGCAGAAGGAAAATGATACAATCATTTACATTTTTATTTCAAACAGGATAAAATAAAGTAGTGTAATTTAATTCAGCCTGCCAGAAATAGACCTTATAAAACCACATTCTGCTTCAATTAGACTTTAAGACCTTCAGGAGCAACGTCTGCCTTCTGCTGCTTCGCACACCTACAGACTGAAATGCCGTATTTTCATGTGCAAAATAGCTCTAGCTCAGTCAATGGAGACGTCACTAGACGGCAACTTTCAAGACTTTTCGATTAGGTCTTTGGTCTGAACTAATCAAAATAAAGAACATCTAATAGAAATTGCATGTTGTGGCTGCAACGTCTGTAGAGAAGTCTGTTTGGATGTGCAGTCGGAGCCAGAAGTGAATGATGCTATGTCTTTTATAATTGGTGCAGTGGTGCAGAATTATGATGCATCTCTCACCTTAATGATGTAAATCACGGATTAAATGCGACATGATCGTTCAGATTGTGGGTGCCTTGAAAACAATCGATTTTGTATTACTTTTACATATGAAAGAGGCTCAAATCAGATTTGGGAATAGATCCCGATTGGGCTGTTCAGATTGCAGAAAAATAGTCGGATATGGGTCCCATCTGGGCAAAACAAAAAACAAAAAGAACAAAAAGACAAGATGCACCGCAGCCTGTGTGAAATCCAAAGGAAGTTACGCTGGATTTTTTTTCAAGGTGTAAGAATAAAGGGAGCTAAACTGAAGTATACAGCACCTTTTGAAAGAAATGAATCATTTCCTTCCACTTCACACCTGTGCACGACTTTGTGTTGGTCTATCACATGAAATCATGGCAAAAAATTTGTGCAAACCCCCAAGGGGAATGAATGCCTACATGTTAAACTATAAAACCTCAGGATAAACGAAAAATAAAAGCACTGAGTGCATGTGGCCGGGCAGGCGAGAAAAAGAGTACAGGCAGTGTAAAATAAAGTCGACAAAAGGTCTTCAAAAAGGGTGAGCGTTTAAAAAGAGTGAGGTGGAGCTGGAGGAGGAGGAGGAGGTGAAAGCCTCAAAGGACCAAACAACCTTCACAACTTCTCTGCTTTCCAAGTCTGGAATGAAAATGAGGTTGCAGTTTGAGGACTGTCAGAGATGAGAAGAGAGCGTAAAGAGTGGTAGAAGAAAAACAGATCACAAACCAAGAGAAAGACAGAGAGAGACAGAGAGAGAGAGAGGAAAATGCAGCTGTAACCAAGCAACTACACCCAAGCAATGCAATGCTCACTTTTAAAATGACTGATAACTGAGCTGCTCTGAGTATTGATATATCAGCCCCTGGAGGAGGATGTGTCACCTGGTGTCAGTGCAATCTTATCAAAGCCACCTGGGCAGGTGTGTGTGTGTGTGTGTGTGTCTGTGTGTGTGCGTGTGTGTGTGTGTGTGTGTGCGTGCGTGCGTGTGTGTCGATAGCTGGGACTAGACAGGGGAGCCACTTAAGCTACTCACTGATGGCTAAATAAACAGAGACTAAATAAGCGGCCAGAGAAAAGAGAGCAAGAGAACCACAGCTTGCCCCGAGGATAAAGCGAGGTGGGTGCGTGCTTTCCTAGAGCTCTACCCCAGAAAACCGCTCAGTGGCTCGGCGGAGCGTACTTCCTAAGCACGGCGATCTCGTTCTCGATGCTCGTTTCCTTCCCCTTGAGCGCCTTCTTGGGGATGCACTTGATGGCCACCATCTTTCCCGTGGCTTTCTCGCGAGCCATCACCACCTCAGAAAACGCACCGCTGCAAGACATAGACAAAAAAAGAGAGAAAGAAAGAGAGAGAGAAGGGGGGAGGTCATCAGTTCGGCCATATACGAGCTCAGACAATATTGACACATCGTCAGTGAGCGGAGAGCAGGCACTCAGAGGCAGACGGGCCAGAGTACACAAACAGCATATTGTGAATATTTACTGAGACTCGGGAAAGTCCATGACCGTGGTCAACCACCCGCCGCGAGGCCAAACGCATGGCAAACACTTTTAACCCCCCCCCGTCCAAAAAAAAAAAAAAAAAAAAAAAAATCAGCCATTTAGCAGGGCAGACAGCTCGTCTTCTTCTACCATCTGCCTCCACACACCAGCGTGTTTAAAAACAAAGCAAATACAGAATTAAGGGAATATCTGCTGAAGCAATCTATCTGTTGCTATGATACCACAGAGATAATAAGTCTTGCAAAGCAGACACAGTGGTTACTTTTTCCCTCCTCTCCTCGTCACACACGCTCTTTCCCCTCCGCATATGTTGAGATTGGCTTCATGTCAGCATCCTGAACAGAGCTGGAAAGCTGCAACTCGTTTGGGTCACATTCACCAGGACTGAAGCTGACATGAGCTAAAATGCTGCAGTTACCTTCAGTTAACTGGAGCCTGTTTTTTTATTTTACAAGAAAATATGAGAAATGTTTCCCATAGACCTTTTTTTAAGCCAATTCTAACGTTTTCATGCTTTGTTTCAGGACTTTCCTGTTGTACACTAAAAATGACTAATGCCCTTGGTTGATGAGTTTCTAAATAAAAAAAATGGAAGAAATTCTAAGTTTTAATGCATTTAATAAGTAAAAGTTGAAATATTTTTCAGCATATGGCCTTCAGGATATCAATCAGAGTATACCAAGGGAAAATATGGTGGTTTTGATCTGAGGCTAACTCACTGATGAAAGCATAGATAAAAAAAAAAAATCTTTTGATTTTAAACTTACAAAGTGACTACGATGCAAACACCAAAGTTTATATATATATATATATATATATATATATATATATAGAGAGAGAGAGAGAGAGAGAGAGAGAGAGAGAGTTCCTTTAAAACAAAGTGAGTACAACCACCTTGGTATAGGTTATGTTGTTTACATAGTGCATTTAAATGCATCATCATAATCCATCTAGATTTTCAGACACAGAAAGCTTTTTAGAGGCACAAACAATGTGAGCTTTTCTAAAACACGTTGATACTGCAAATTTACTCACCTCAAAATAGAGCGAAAAATATTCCATTATCATGACATAACTTTTGTTTTTGTCCTGATAATTAATCATTTTACTTACAAAACGACATGAAGCAGGTCTATAGCAACGACTGGACGATCAAGGCGAGTCAAAGAGAAAAGTTTGAATCGAGTCCTTCAAACATCACTTTGGATATCTGAGTTGTTTTAAAGGCAAAAGCAAAAGCAGTTTCATCAGCAACTGCATTTACACCACTGACAGCTGACTTTTGCTTTTCTCTGCTAAGAACTGTAAGAGACAGAGGACCAGGTCTGACCGAGAGAAACTTATTGAGCTTAAAGAAAGACAAAAAAACAGAACTGGTGGTGAAAATCCCTTAAAAATGGCAACAACCAGAATGAATAATGAGCATTGTGACAACGACTTTACATTTATTCTAATTTGGATTACAATAATTATGAAACAAAAAAAACACTGATTTAAAACATTCCCTTTGGTATGTGCTTATTTGGTTCCTCTGGTGCTACAATGAAAAAACTTAATGGATAAATGTATCAAATAATCACAATTCCAATCTTGCGCAACATAATTATGCGCAGCTGATTATTTTTTAGTATTTTTCCATATTCAAATAGTGGTGACACAGACCCCTGTTCGCTGCTAAAAGCAACACTGGAGGGAAAGAAAGCATCACAGCAGGACGACAGAGCAGCAGAAGGTGACCTGAAGTGATGACTCATGCTTTTTCCTTGACATCATATCCGCATTTACCTGAGGAGAGATGGCAGCATGGCGCACTATCAGAAGATAGTGACTTGGATGTTCAACCTCAAACTTCCTTTAACTTGGAAAAGAAAGCACTCTGAGCTAGCCATAGACAGACTGTTACTCCCTGTCCAGCTGATTTGCCCTAAATCTGTTACATTTTCAGCTGGTGCGGTTTGCTGTCACACTGCACTGTCAAACCAACCAGACCCTTTGTAAAACCTTTTCATCCCCTCGCCTGTGGTGGCGCTGCATCAAGAAGCACAGACGAAAACGACAAAAACCTCTGAAGAAGACACTGAGCAACTTCCTACTTCATGAAATGTAAACAATCAGTATTTGTCTTGTTGTTGGTAAAAGACCACAAGCCATTTTTCACGCTAGCGCTAGACTCCAGTGTTTGTTTAGGTTGTATTTACCCAGAATGCCTTGCGCTAGTGTTCACTTCCTGCTTTTTGAGCAGTCTCCGGTCCGCTTGGCGTTCACATGTGAACTGCGCCAGAGTTCACTGGGGTTTTAGGTGAACCAGAGTTCGTTTTTTTTTTTTTTTTGGTCCACATCAGAGTTCAATTTTGCATTCGCATCTCCCCAAACGAACCGCACTTTCTACGTAAATGAACTGGACTTTGATTAAAAGGGACCAAGCAGGACTGGTGTGAATGCACCCATATGTTCTTTAAGAAACCTTTGAGGTATTTTACCTCAATAGGTAAGTGGGGATCCAGCTTTTTAAACCATATAATCAGGTGACTTCTGAATATAACTGTTTATGTTTACAGAGTGATGGAGGAGGGTAAGAACAAATGCATCAAACTTTTCAGAAAACGTAGAAAATCACACTTTTAGGTGTGTTTTTTTTTTAATGAACCATTTTCTTTTGAGCATCGATGGTGTGCCAGGCGTGTAATAATTTCCTCCCCAAAGCCTCTGAACTCAGTGCCACGGTCAGGTGCTGCGAGTCGCACCACGGCCACACTAATCCCTCAATCCTCCATCACACACGGAGGGAGAGGGTCGGCCTGAGCCGCAGCACACAAACAAGCTGCGCACCAACGCAGCACCTGGCTTCAGGTGCGGTGAGGTGGAACGCAATCACCGCAAACAAAACAGAGCGAGCTCGGTGGCGCGTGGGCCCTTCTGACGTGACCTCATTCTGACACACGACGCGGGAGAAAATGTAAACGCTGGGAGGGCATCATTCCCACTCAGCAGCACACACCACGGACTTCCACAACTGGTGTGGACGTCGGGAAAAGCGCGCCTTTCCTCGACCATCTGCATGCTGAGAAGCGCGCAAGCGAGCGGGGTTTTTTTCTTTCTTTCTTTTCAGTGCTCCTCTCTCTCTCTCTCTCTCACTCTCTTTCTCTGTCTCTCTCTCTCTGCTCTCTGCAGGAGAAGAGACACGCTGATGAAAACCACAGGAAACCTGTGATCTCAATGGGAAAGTGTGCTGAGCTACATTTTGTACCCCCACCCGGTTCACCACACTGACAAGCAAATACATCACTTCCTGTGAATGACAGCTTGACACAAGGCCGCTACTTCCCCTGATTTGTCAGAGCATGAACCCTGACAAACGAGGCTGCAAAAGCATTTACTCTATGAAGCCACAATTCACAGAAAAAGAGCTTCTTCAGCGTGTGACAGAGACACGCTGCTGAATCTCCACCGTAGTCAACAGTTTTCAAACATTTCGTCCAGTTAGCTGCTCTGTAGGGTTTACAAAGTAACAATTATTTTAGCTAGTCGATTAATTGGATAACAAAATTGGCACATTCTGCAGATTTTTTTGGTTTGTTTTTAGCCATTAAAAGATGCATGTAAAGAAATACTTTCATTTTTTAGGTAAGAATCTAAATATTTTATGGCCTAAAATGTAACAACATGGCTTTCCTATAATGAATGATTGATCATTAGCAGCAGAGGATGCATCTGCAGCTAAAAAATACTTCTGACATCAATATAATGCAGGGCTGATATGTTGATTGTTTTTGGATTACCTGATCAACAAATGGATAGCAAAAGGTGATTAATGGGAGAAAAGAAATGATTTTTTTTTTAACAGTTTTGGCTTAATTACTGCTCTGAATATGTTGCTCTTTCAGCGTTTTGCCTTTTTTAAAAAATTTTTTGGTCTGTATGCTCCAGTTAATGATTAATCGATTTCCAAATTAGTTGACGATTGTTTGAGCAATCGACTGATCGTGATTAATTTGATTAATGATGATTAACTCCTAACAGCTTTTAGGTTTGTGGGTGATTAAATCACTCTAATGTACTTATGCATGTGGCTGCAGTGCATCTTAACGAGTTCAGCACCAGACATCAGAGAAACCTCCATTCGATTTCAATCTTATCTCGACCTGTTATGCATTACAAATGAATTCAGGCTTCCTTTGCAGCGCTCTGTGCTCACAGCTCTGGATGTCCCTCTGAGCAGAGTGTGACAGTCTGCAGTCACACAATGTGCAGACAGCCAGGCCAAAAACCGGCTGACTAATGCGAAAGTGGGCTGCCGTCTCCGTGTGAAACCGGCGGCTGTTGCTGCAAATGCAGAGCGAGCCCAGCCTAGAAAACTTTTCACCGCCCCGCCAGCCTGCTGGGGGGCCGACTGCGGTAAAAACGCGGGGAGGAGTCGACGGCGGTGCAGGAGCTCGGGGGTTGAACAACAGAGACTCTGCTCCTGGATGCTGGAGGCCGGTGCGAGTGTTGTGCTGCTGCTGCTGCTGCTGCTGCTGAGTAATCACACTGAATCATCTTGTGTAAGATGCATCACGGCAGGCGGTTATACAACATGATGGAAAAGTCGAGAGCTGATGATGAAGGTGAAGCTGCTGGCCAGGGAGCCGCCCGGTCAGAGTCACCTTGCAGCAACACCTACAGCCTGACCCAAAATGGAGCATCCTTTCACCACTTCAATTGACAAATTTATTTCTGTATTACATTGCAGAATTCACGCTCCCCCGATCAAGAATACCTTGCAAAAGTATCCCACTTATACGACTTGAACTTTTTTAAAATATTGCCTGT